TCGTTGAGTCCGCCTCATCTGATACAGAGCATGGCATTGAGTAGGGCATCTCTTCTCTGTGTTGGAAACCCGTGAGTCTTGCCGCTTTTAGTTGAACTTCATTATTAGGATCTTGCTCCAAATTTGTAGGACTCAGTAAAATTCGATCTGGTAAAGCTTTATGACTTTTTGTTTAGAGGCTATGTATTTGTCAGCAGCCCATTTGATGTGTGGATGCTGGATGCCCATGCAAATATTCGCAAGAATGTTTCTACACTCATATCCGACAAACAGTTTGAGTTGGCCATCCAAGTTGTGGTATGTCAAGGAGCCTTCATCGTGTACTCCAATCATGCGAAAAATATGATGTTTCTAGGAAATGTCGAACTTCTTCACAGAGGATAACAAAATCGAAATCAAAAGACAAGCAGCCTTGAATTTATTTCATCGAAGGCGATTTGAGGAGTCTTTTCAATTGCACGCAGAGATCAAAACAGGTGTGTTTATCTTGTGTATTTTCCTCAAAATAATAAATTAAGCCAGGCATGAATCTTTTCCAGAGTGAAGATTTCTAAAATTTTCACCGGCTGCTTCCTTTCTGAACCTTTATACCTCGGTCACAAATCGAGAATGATTTTCTTGTTTCGAGTATAAAGTTTCTTTCAGATGTGATAACGATTATCCAAATGTTTCCGGAATTTTTGCCCGAGAAATTGCGAACTAATGCAGCTGCGTTTGATCTCCCAGCTAATGACAAGAAACGAGCATTGCTCGCTCTGGGAAACTACCTGTCAGCGGTTGGTTTCCTCGTTTTGCCTCTTTATTTTTTTCTTCATTTTTCTCGTTTTCTGAATCCTCGCTTGGTTCGTTTTATATGGCTACTCCTAAGTACTTGGAAGTCATTCATTTTATATCCTGGTCTTCTTTAGAATGTCGATAATTTTGCGGTAGGGAAGGGTTGCTGAAGGCTACAGTTCAGGTTTTATCAGGAATTTCTGTTCGTATTCTAACCAGTCATACGTGCGTAGTGTTTTTACGTAGGGAAGACGAGTTATTTGTGGGTATGTAAACCTGGCCTTCCTTCAAACAAAACAAGTGGTGATGAGAATCTGTTCAAAGTATACTTTTATGTATGGCCTTCTCAAGGTTCGCTCGGACTTGTCGAAGCAAGTGGATCAGTGCACTAAGGATCGACATCACAGTCACTCGAACCTCAACTCAGATCACCTTAAAAGTCTCCATATATCTCTTCAAGTGGTTGACACAGCCCTTTTGAAATGTTATCTACAGGTGTGCGTGTAGCCTTTCGAGAGGTGCTCTTCATATCATTTGTGATTCACTGTTGTCCATTGCCGTTCCAGACAAGACCTTCGCTGGTGGACTCCTTGCTCCGCCTGCACAACAACTCCTGTTTTTTCGAGGACGCAGAGACCATTCTACTGAATGAGGAGCGTCTTCCGTCGTTATTTATTTTGTACGAATCACGAAAGAAACATGAAATGGGTTCGCGCTTGGAGAAGTTGTTTCCAATGGTGTTATTGTCGTGTTTCAGCTACAAATCTTCACTATTTTATCTTTAGCCTTGGAGCTTCTTCATAAACAGTTCCTGGAACCAGAAGCAGACCCATTTTTCCACGATTTGGATCGAACTATTAGCTATTTGCAAACACTTGGAAATACCCATCTAGAGCTCATATTCAAATACGCCCGATGGGTGCTTGATAAAGATGTTGCAAGTGGTCTTGAGGTTGGTCAGTTCATATTTTACTTTACTTTAATCTGGAACATGTTAAAAACTTCCATTTTTCAAAGATATTCATCGGTGAAGAGTCTGACGTAGCCCGGAGTCTTGATCG